CGAAGACGTCACAATTGGTGCTGTTTAGGGACGTCACAACTGGTGTCGTGACCGGGATAGGACCCTGGAACGGCCACGTCACAACTGGCGCCGTGGTAGATCAGGATAGAACGTCACAGTTGGCGCTGCGACCGGGGGACGACGTCACAGTGTATTTGCGATCTTCAAAGATTTAAATGTAATGTCAATTGTCAGTTTCTGTTTCCTTGAAACCTGTTCTTTTATTGTGATCTTTGCAACCCCTTCACACTCTCGTGTCTGTTATTGACTTGCTTGGGCTGAGATGATTAAAAATCCTTCTCTCTAGAATTCAGACAGAAAAAGACAGAAATAATTCTATTAAAACATCAAACGGATATATTTTATTGATTGATTGATTTGATGTTTTACGGCTTATCAACCACTTGCAGGTTCATTATTTACATTATTCGGACTATTTTCCTCATCTTTGTCGCCATACCACAACGTTTCGTCCGTTGTACGCTCCGGCCTTCTTCAGGTGGTTGGAATGTCGAACTGAAACCTTTATTTCGCTCACTGGGGTAGACTGTTCTAGTTCCACGTGCCATGTTTGATGGATGTCAGTTAATTTCCCTCTGAAAGTTCTCCACTGCCTTAACCGGGTATTGAACTCACACTCTTTGGATCTTGTCACTGGATCTAACCAACGCCTTTATCCACTGTGCCATGTGTCCTTGAGGACAGTGAGCGAAATAAAGGGTTCAGTTCGACATTCCAACCACCTGAAGAAAGCCGGAGCGTACAACGACCGAAACGTTCTGATAAATATGGCGACAAAGATGAGGACAATAGTCCGAATAATGTAAATAATGTACATAATACCTCATCTCAGAAATATAGACAGACTCCACTTGCAGGTTATTTAAATCCAGAAAAATGTTTAAATTGTAAGAATTTTTCGGAGATAATAACGATTTAGTGATAAAAGTCATAGTGATTAACCCTTAGCCGTGGAGGTAAGAACTGCGTTCATGCCTTTCCCCAAGGATGATTACGCGTAACTGAATATAACGAACTCGGCAATAACTGGAACTCAGCTCACCGATTTCCAATTCCGAGCCGTTATCACGCATATCCAAGCTTACAGCACCTGGTATTCGCAAGCGGTCACCCATCTAGGTACTGACCAGGTTCGGCGTTGCTTAACTTCGGTGATCGTACGAGAACCGGTTTTTTCAACGTGATATGGCCGTAAGCCTTCAAACTGATAGGAACTAAGAAATTAAAGATAAAGGAACGAAACAGTGGAACATATTATGAGCGAAGGTAAAAAGGACATTATACATCTCAAACAAGAAAGCATAAACGCGTACGTTAACATTGTAGATTAACTATGCTCCATTTACCAGTGCAATGTTTTAAAAAAATATCTAAAACGTAGCACGGGATAAGAAAAGTTCGAGAACCACTGCGGTATTGCGAAACCTTAACTACAGTAAAGAGTGCTGTGAAGAGTATCGTATTATTTCAGGAGACGTGTTGTCACTTGATTCTTGATTGAACGTCATTAGACAATTGTGGCGTGAAACTTCATATATTAATAGTATAGGATATAAAAGGTATCAAAAATAAGCAAGTGCGGAAGTTAGAACTGAAATTCAACTATTCATGCAGTTAATAGAAATTGGGAAAGCTGTTTTTCAGAAAATAAGCAAAGTAATAAGAACGTCAATGAGAATAATGTACTGCTATGTAATGTCTAATTTTCTGTACGGCAATGAATACTGTCCAGTTTCATCACAGCTGTTAAAAAAAGGGAGCAGGGAACAGTTGTGAAGAACAGATTCTACACACTGATCCCAGTTCGAGGGTCGGGGAGCGTGCGCTCTGTCCTCATAATCGTCTTGTACTTCCCAAGAAAAAAAATTTCAAGTTTGTTTCAAAGTGTATATTTTCTTTCTCTGCCTGCGTAGTAAGATCTTTCTTTCTTTTTTTTTTTTTTTTTTTTTTTTTTAATAGCAACAGCAAGCGAGTCGACAACTACACGCTAAATGTGATCCCGTCTCCGTCAGAGATACGAACGATGCCGACTTATAAAGCCAGCATCATTTCTTTTTTCTCTCTAGATATTAGTGAAGGTCACGGTAGGCAATTCGCAGAGCAAAAAACATAGCCTGAGATAAACACTAATTCTTCTTTCACCTGATGTTATTCATTGTTTTCGTTATTCGAAGAATTAAACAAACAAAAAAGAAGGTTAAATGAAATAGAAAGAGAACAGAAAGGATTAAATAATCACACACACACACACACACACACACACACACACACACACACACAAACAAACAAACAAACAAACACAAAGGGAGATTGATTGATTTGTTTTTTTATGGTTTATCAACCTTTTGCATTTTATTCAATAGCCAGAAAAAAATTTGTAGATTGTAAAAAGTTTTGGGAGATTTTTTACTGGTACACATTCAACTAATTAACCCATAGCTGGGGGAGAAGAACTAGATTCATACTTTTACCAAGGGTATTTGCACGTAAGCGAATATAACGAACTCGGCAAAAATTGGAACTCCGTTCTCCGATTTCAGATTCCGAGCTGTTCTCTGTTACACCAGCCACACATCCAATCTTACAGCGCCTGCTATTCACAAGGCGTTACTCGTCTTGGTACTGATCAGGTTCGACGTTGCTTAACTTCAGTTATCGTACAAGAACCAGTGTCTCAACGTGTTATGGCCGTAAGCCTACAAAGGCAGATGGTGAGAGGTAGAGAGGGTGGAGGGAGGAAGAAAGGGGAGGGTAATTATATAGACAGAGTGAACCTCTCCCCCTTATACATGTCTGATGCGAAAAATTACCAAGAACGATACCCCGAAAAATATTAATGACATTTTTAACAGCAAGTCAGTTGAGGGGTGGGGAAAATAGCAAGAATACGTACATTATATTTTACGACACACACACTTGCTTACAAGGACTAAAATTGCGGGCATAAAAACACACACACACAGACACACACACACGAACGCAAGCACTCACTTAAGTTTACACTTTTTCTTCTCTCTTTCACACATAGAATTGATCGCTCGTCCACACTTTCGCGCGCAAAAAAATAATCACAATCATAGGAAGGTCCTTTAAAAACCGAAACTGGTTTAAAAAAAATAAAAGGGTGAAATGTGCGATGATCCCTGTGACCCCTTGAAAATCATCCAGAAAATTTCACCTGATGTCGCTAACGAGTCAAATCAATTTAGGGCTCAGCATACATCAGCAACAACGGCAGCAGCAATAATAGCCATAGCAGTAGTGACAGTAGCAGCAGCTGTAGCTGTGTCAATTGTAGTCGTCGTAACCGTGGTATACCTGAGGGTTTCTTTAAAACATTTGTTTTTATTAAGGATCTCCATTTTTAAACCTTAAAACAGTTGGATATATAGTAGCTCTTTTATAAATAATAACTAAATAAACAGTTTGGGTATAATACGCATTTTAATAATTCGTTTACTTATAATTTGAAAAGATGGGAATTAAAAACGAAATATCCTTGTAGTGTCAGGGGTGCACCGTAGCTCATATGCTAATAACTTCATTCTCTCTTCTGTGTGCAAAAACAGAAAGAGAATAAAATATTTCAATTCTATATTATTTAAAAAATGATGAAGTTTTCTTCTATTTAATTGTTTGTCACTTTATTATTAAATTTTATTTCCTGGTTCAGTACAAAAATTATTCAATGACATTTACAGAGAACTAGGCAACTCGCTGTATAAATCATTACCTCAAATTTGTAATGCTAATATATTTTATTTCAAACTATTTTATTTTAATATATGTTATTTATTGATAACGTATTTTATTTATTTCCGTTTCTCTTTTATTTATTTATTTCTGTTTGTATTTTTCACATCCTGACACGATCAGTTTCATATTTAATCTCTCCCTCTTTAAATTTTGGAAATTACTGGTGGTGGTGGTGTGGGGGGGGGCTTGTTAATTTGTAATGATTAACGAGCTTGTCGACTGCAGTGAGTTCGATTGTCCACAGTTGTAGCCTACAGTCAGATTAAGCTGTTATGTGTTGAAGTTTGATTTGATTATGAGGATATTTGGAGGAAGGTTTGAAACGCTTTCCTATGTGATACAGAATAACTATCATAGTACCCATAAAAACGACGGAATCATTTACGTATAGCTTATGACCAGTGTAGTATATAGGCTTCCAGTCTATTATCAAAATATTACGTTGTCCTCTGCCAAGAGCCAGTTTTCTGCGTTCTCTGTTTATCTTAGTATTTGTAAGTTAATTTTAGCGTACCGTTCACGCACGATTCACTTCTTAATTTTATATTTATTTAAATTTGGCAGGTCGGAAGTTATAGACAGAAGATACAAGGAAACATACATCGAAAAAGCCATAATGTTCATTATTATAAATTATTATATATTGTGGATTACTCCTTCATGACTTTGCTAGGTTCCTCAAGACGTCGCCATAAAATTGGGTCACTTCCTGTCTTCTTTCTCTTTTCTCTTTTTTCTTTCTAGTATGCGCCAGAAGCAACACCAACACGAGACTTTGTCCAGGTCATGGGGATAGCTTCACCGGGTAAATGAACTTTTTTACATACACGTTTATCACCCGCTTAATTGCTTCTTTCAGTGCCGTCTTTCTTTTAAAAGGATACTAGTGTATTTTCTCTCCTTTGTTACTCAGTTCTAAAAAAAAAAAAACACGGATTAAATATCCCATTGTTGAAATTTATTCTGCTATCTTTCATCTCTACTGGCAATAGCGCTAAATATTTTACACACAATTTTATTTTATTTTTGGAGATAATAACGGTTTAATGACACAAATTTTAATAATTAACCCATAGAGAGGAGAGAAGATGGGGATCCATGCATTTTTCCAGGGGTATTCACGCGTAATTGAATATAATGAACTCAACTGGAATTAGATCTCGGCTCTCCGATTAACCATTCCAAGCCATTATCCAATCCATTACACCACCGGAAAATCCAAGCTTACAGCACGTGGTATTCCCAAGCAGTCACCCATCTAAGTACTGACCAGGCTCGATGTTGCATAACTTCGGTGATCGCACGTGATGTAGCCGCAAGACTTAGTTAAAGAAACAAAATTCTTTTAAAAAAACATATTCACTTTTTAAAACCATGTTAATTGTTGTAGTATACCTACGGACGATAACGGGTTGTGTCCCCATTCGCATAAATTCAGTTGTAAATACTGTATGTTGGTCTGCAGTTGGAGATTCATCTATAGCTGTACTGGTCAAACTCTCTGTCTCCGGGCGGAGAGGATCCTCAGACGAGGCTGTGTCAAAGGAGTCTCGTCTCGGGAAACAGCTACCCGACCATGTTTTATACAGGGTCCACGGGGAATTTTTGATCGAACCTACGGGCTCGGATAACCCACATTAAATTCGGCCTTGTGCCACCTCTAACCACGTGGGCATCCTCGCGTTGCCCGTGCAACACGACCATCATAACTCGATTTGTTAGGAAGGATCGGATTAAGATGAATATTCGTCCCGTGACATGGTAGCCCTTTATCTCGCACAGAAGGTCAACATGCCAAATCCTGTCGGACACCTTCGAAATAATAAATATAAATGCAGGTCATTATTTAAAAAAGTAAAAGGCTACAAATAGATTTAAAATTGACAAAGATTTTCATTTCAATGAAGCAGACGTTAAACATATGAGCATCATTGCCTCTTTTATATTTCCTTTCTTTCGGGCTTACTGAAATTGTCCTACACACTAATTGAGGGTGTATGCCCCCCACCGACTCCAGTTTAAAAAATAACAGGGAATACTGACAGAATGCTGAAAAGCAAAAACAGAATATACCTATATTTACTAAAAACTCTAACTTAAGAAAACTTCGAGAACATTCGAGAAAACGAATTACCCTAAAAGCTCAAAAAATCCTTTCTATAATATCGGAAACAACATTGTTACATTATCTTTGATATTCAAATTCGAAAGAGAGAAAGAAGAAGGAAAAACAATAGAAAGTGCATGAATCCCTCGATTAATGCGTTTTCGATTAGTGAGTAATACTCGATTAGTGCGGTAAAGCATTCTTCAATTTAACCATAGTCATTGAAAATTGATGTTTTATAGTTACCAGTTAATTAATAATTGTCTAAAATTTAAAAATGTAAAAAATGCGTAACTATTTTCTTTATCAAGTATTACCTATCTAAGTAATTACAGTAGTGTTAAAAAATTACATTAATTAATTAAAATTAGAGTAATTAATTAAAATTACTCATAAGTAATTACAGTAGTGTTAAAAAAAAGGACGGTTATCAATTTTATAATATGAATATTTGTCTCTATTAAAATCCTTTGAATTATTTTTTTCAAGTTTATTTTGGAGGTCTTAAAAGGAAATTTCTGATTTTTTTGTTTGAAAAAAAATGGACGATTTAATAATTAGATACAGAAATTTATATTTATTAAAAAATATCAAAATATAAAAGATGTTTGCATTTACTATGGAAAGATTATAAATAAAATTTTCACGCTAAAATACTAATGATTATGATATGTTTGGAAAATTTCCAATAATAGAAACTATGTACCTTTATTTGAATTAAAAATTACTCACGTGTTAGAAATTAATTGTGAATGAGACTAAAATTTGAGATACAAATTACGTCATTCCTTATAAGTTATTATATTTGATTAATGAGTTTTCGGTTAGTGCGTCTCTTTTAAAGAACACATTAGATGCACTAATCGAGGGATTCCTGCATAAGGCGGCAACAAAATGATAAAAAGGAGAAATAATCATGACACTCGACACATACGCACATGCAGACACGCATAGGCACACACACACACACACACACACACACACACACACACACACACACACACACACACACACAAAGATAAAAAACAACTTTTTGTAATGTCAACGAAGACTCATTGCCACATTCGTAATGCTCGTTTTAGTAGAGACTTTGTAATTGCAGATACAACTATAGTAACGCCGTTGAACAATGCTGGTGTCAGACGCCTTCGAATATCACTCGCACTAATAGTACTTGCTCGATAATAGTCGCTCGGAAAGTAATCACCGTATAGTGATCCTTATAGAGAAATAGTGAATAGAGAAGAGAATCGCGATCCGTATAGTAATAGAGGATAGAGCAGAAATGGCGATCCGTATAGGAATAGAGGATAGAGCAGAAATGGCGATCCGTATAGTAATAGAGGATAGAGCAGAAATGGCGATCCGTATAGGAATAGAGCAGAAATGGTGATCCGTATAGGAATAGAGGATAGAGCAGAAATGGCGATCCGTATAGGAATAGAGGATAGAGCAGAAATGGCGATCCGTATAGGAATAGAGGATAGAGCAGAAATGGCGATCCGTATAGGAATAGAGGATAGAGCAGAAATGGTGATACGTATAGTAATAGAGGATATAATAGAATATAGAGATCAATTGTATGCCATGCCACTTCTTACTTACGCGTTTCATCTATGGTCACGTGGTTTACTTAATTCAATAATGGGATCGTCTGTGTTTGCTCCATGGTGATCTATGTTCAAACTCAAGTTTCGGCAGCGAGACTTTATTCCTATATAACACAACTTAACACCAACAACTAGCGCATAAAATTGATTTTTTACTAAGTATAAAAATAACAAAAATCAGAAAAATCCGCAGTCAGTTGCTGAGATCCCCTGACGAGTGGTCACAGTATGATTACAAATGGTTCGTTTATGAAACTTCAGAGTCGAGGTGCTGAATCAGCTTAGGGGACAAATTTTATTTGCATTAATCCTAGGAACAAATTAAACAGAAAAGAAGACCGGTTTTTTCTTGATGTAACATTTCCCAGAAGGCCTTCTGAGGCCAGCTCGCCTGGCTTAGCCATGTGTAGCATTTTCTTTGAAAGCAAAGTTCAAATGAAGAACAGTGTTATTTTGTTTAGGAAATGATTTCAGTGCAAATAAGGATGATGGATTTGCTTTCTTTTTTTGACGTTTTGTTTTGATTTTTGTTCTTTTTCTTTCTACAGGGAAAGAGATGAGGCAGAAAGTAAAAGAAGTTTCTAGACAACATCAGTGAGTGGAAAGAAAGAATCTTTGCTAAAACGTCTGCTTTATCTGACGGCCGCCAGAAATGAAGTCCGTTACGTTCATCCATCTTACGTTACGGGACCAATGACAGTGACCGGTTTTATGGAATGTATTCTTTTTTGTACTCTGCTATTCTTTGTATATTGCTTATCTTCCATTTTATAGCCAATGGGTTTTCTTTCTTTCGATTTTTCTTTTTCTGTTATTTTACTCTTGTTTTTCCTAGCCATTTCTTTCTTCTCGTTTCTTTCTTTCTTTCTTTCTTTCTTTCTTTCTTTCTTTCTTCCTTTTCGTTTCATTCTTTCTTTCTTTTCGTTTCATTCTTTCTTCCTTTCTTTCTTTCTTTCTTTTCGTTTCATTCATTCATTCTTCCTTTCTTTCTTTCTTTTCGTTTCATTCTTTCTACTTTTCTTTTCTTCATACATGATTTTTACTATAGTTTTTCCTAGCCATTTTATTATTTTCTTTTTCTTTTGTTTTGTTCGTTCGTTTGTTTGTTTGTTTCTTTCTTTCTTTCTTTTCGTTTCATTCTTTCTGCTTTTCTTTTCTTTTTCTTTCCTTCTTTTCTCCTTATTTACTTCGATTTTTTTCTTTTTTCTTCATTCATTCTTTTTCTATTTTTATTAATTTCACTTTCCCTTTCTTCTATTTTTGATATTTTTGTTCTTTAATGTCTTTTCATCCTTTTCTTTTTCAGTTTCATTCAATAATTGCATTTCTTTCCTTATTTGTTTTTGCTCTTTACTTTTTCCTTTCTTTTTATTCTCGTCGCTTTTCATCTCATTCCCCACGTCTTTTTAAAAATGTCTTTTTTTTTTTTTTTTTACTTTTCTCTGTTAATATCTTCCATTCACCCAAACACGCAATTTTTCATTTCTTTCCATGCTTTCTTTTTCTTCCCAAATTGATCCATTACCTCAATATCCATAAATATCACATACTAAGTAATCCTGAGTCGTAAGTTATTGACTAAACAAAGAAAGAGAATTTTCTTCAATACGGACTGCGCTTTACTTACAGTAGAATAAATGTTGATCCGGATTATAAAATAAGTGAACAGATGGCTTTCAGACTCAAAGGCACCAAGGAATGTTCATTCTACCACAATGAATTAAGTATTTATAAAAAACCATGTGTGTGTGTGGGTGGGTGTATATTAAAAAGAAATCAGATGAGAAACAGTGAGAGAGAAGGAACGTTTGTATGAATGGCGACGACTCCATATATGCAATGCATATCTTAAATGTTTTGTGTAATAACAAAATGAATTATCTTTAACATACATTTTGCACACGTGATCATTTTTAGTAGCTCCCATTCTCCATTATTTCTTAGGATAAATTATGAACGAGAAACATTAGTAAAGCAGCGTAAGCAGAGAAGACCCCTGCTCACGTATACAAGTCTCGCGTCAGATGTATGCATAGAGTGTAATAGAACGTGGAAGAACCGAGAGAAAAAAGATTAAGGGGTTTAGACTGAATGAGCGAGAAAAATAAGCTGCTTCTTGTTTTCAGCACGAAGATAGATTGAATAATTTGGTTTCATTTTCCCTGAATAAAGATCTTTTTAAAAAGATAAAGGGGGGAACACGGTACTGATACTATCTACAACGAAGGGATCGACGAATTTCCTTCGTCTATATAATAAATGCCAATGTCAGTGTGTCCTACTTTTTCAGTTAAAGAGACACAACTCTCAATAGCTCATCTTCTTCATCTATATAATAAATGCCAATGTCAGTGTGTCACACTTTTTCAACTTTACTCCTAGAGGCCGTAGCCCAACCTATCATGGCATTTTGGAATCAGACCGACTTCGTGAGCAAACATTCCAGTCCGGATCAGGATCCGCAACCCTGAAACTTTAGATTCCCAAGTTTTCATAACTGCGTTTGTTTTTATATTCCGCCATTTTGGCTTCTACTGATAAAACAATCAAAGAGAAACAAGTCTGTAACTTTCAATGGCTCATATTCAAATGAAAAAAGTTAATGTTCTCAAATTACATTGTTTCAAAATAAAATTGTTCATATTTTCAACTTTACTCCTAGAGGCCGTAGCCTAACATATACCATTTTGCAACCAGGCCGAGTCCGTGAGCAAATTAAAAACATTCCGGGTCGAATCAAGCGCAATCATCAATTTTTTTCTTCCAAGTTTTCATTACTGCGATTGTTTTCGGCGATTATTTTACGTGATTTTTTTGCGACGAATTTTTTGTATGATAACAATGTTTATAACTTGGAAATGAATTTGGGAATAATCGAAATTTAATTGCAAAATCCAACGAAAGTTACCCAGGAAATAAAAATAATTGTTTGTACGCAAAGTCAGTGCCTACGTACATCAAATTGTCTTTAAATTAAGTGGCGACAGAAGAATTAAATGCATATCAATGCAATATTTAAATGCCGCGAATAATTTGAGTTCTTCTGTAGTTCATTGTTGCCTATCGTATTTACTCCTCCCTAACTATTGTGATGAAGGCCCAATCAAGAACCTTCCGCAGGAGCTAGCTTGAATGTCGCCCGATAGGACGGCGTCTAAGCTAGTCTCTGTCTATAAAAGGCAGGATGTGTGTGTATGTGTGTGTGTGTAGCGAATGCACGGCCGCAATTTTCGACGGATTTGCACCAAAATTTACATGCACATGCTCCAAGTTAGCGGAAAGGCCAAGACCGACTTTGCATTTCCCAACTCCCATCGATAGTGGAAATAATCGATTTTTTCATAGTTTGCGGCTATTTTGTACTGGCCAGAGTGAGAGCCTCTAGCTGGCTGCCACGAATAGGCAGGGAGATTCTATTGGCCAGCGTGAGAGCCAACAGCTGACTGACACGAATTTTAACTAGCATGCTAGCATGAAAAAACAAAAAACCAAAAACAAAACGATTCGTCACAAGTGGGAAAAATTTAAATCTGCATGGCACTTTACTCCAATTGACTCGTTCGCTTGCTTAAACTCAACGTTGATTCTGATTCCGCATAACTGGGTTGGGTGTGAAAAAGTATTTGTTGTTAACATTCTTTTTTCATTCGGTTTTTCTAGTTACGAGTCCTTTTTTAAAGCTGATCGTTTTGTGTTCATTTTGTTTAGTTCTTTTTTCGTAACAGATTTAATGTTTAGTATAGAGCTTAGAAAAAGTGTGAGATAGGCAAGAAGTAAGGCATGTAGCAACATCAGCACGGCAAAGGGCACTCCTTTAAAGGCAAGGATGGGCGAAAATATTTTAAATCAAGTGATAGCGATTGCTGTATGAGTCGTACGATTTTTTAATCAAGCACGGGCAACGCCGGGCCATGCTGCTAGTAATTAATTAAGTTTTAGTCAGTTGATTTGTTTAATGGAATATCAACTCCATATGGACCATTTAATACTGAAATTTAATTTTCGTGGAAGCTTTGAAGTAATAAAAATCTGACATATGTTATTCTTCTTTCCCAGTTGAATACATGGTAGATGATACTCAGCTTGTGTGCATATACATGTTTGTGTGGACAGAATTATTAGTGACGGTGATATCTGTATTTTAAGTTTTTTTGATGTTATAGTTTGAAAAACAGTTTGATTTAAGAAATTGTAGGATATTATATGGATTAATGTCATGAAAGAGTTCATGCTGGTTGTTTGTTTGTTTGGTTGATTTTGTTTAGCGGCATATCAATATCTATATGGGTTATTTAATGCCGAAATCTAAATAATTTGAACACAGTTTTATGGCTTCAACTACAGATAAAATGTATAATTGGTAGTCTATTTTTTTATATCTGAAAATGTATTGCTGGTATTTTGATTATTAAAATGTATTTTTATAGTTTCATATTGTTTTTCTTGGTGAGGGGCTGACTGTTTGGCCATAGCTGGGACCCTAACAGGTGTTACCACTCCGTGTCAGGAAACAACAGCATTTAAGTGGTGGTTCCACGTTCCGCAAAACCTTCGATCTCCCGATCAGAGGCCTTGCTGCCGGATGTAGTTTATCGTCATACCTAGCACTAAATAAAGTTTTAAATACATCGTTATTTGTTGTTTTTATAATTTTCTCATATTTCTCTTGTAACCATTAACGTTCATCATGAACTGCTTGCCTCGATTTCAAATTCTTCCTTCGTCACTGGTTTTTATATATACAAAACCTCGGATAAACATTAATCTGTAAGTTGTACGAATGAACATAAAACATAGATACGATCGTTTTTGTTTCTTTGCGAAAATAACTGCTTTCATCTATCATCTATCTATCTATCTATCTAATTCTGTTCACTCTATCTATCTATCTATCTATCTATCTATCTATCTATCTATCTATCTATCTATCTATCTATCTATCTATCTATCTAATTCTGTTCACTAACTCTATCTATCTATCTATCTATCTATCTATCTATCTATCTATCTATCTATCTATCTAATTCTGTTCACTAACTCTATCTATCTATCTATCTATCTATCTATCTATCTATCTATCTATCTATCTAATTCTGTTCACTAACTCTATCTATCTATCTATCTATCTATCTATCTATCTATCTAATTCTGTTCACTAACTCTATCTATCTATCTATCTATCTATCTATCTATCTATCTATCTAATTCTGTTCACTAACTCTATCTATCTATCTATCTATCTATCTATCTATCTATCTATCTATGTATTGTAATGCCCGTTGTAGGAGAGACGTTCTAAATGACAGATACAACACTAATACCGCCTTCGAGTAATACTCGGTTAGATGCCGTTAATTCCCACATATATATTTTTTCCTTTACCCGTCACGTGATTTAATTATTTCAAGATGAGGTCGATTGTGCTTGCTCTCTGGCGATTCGTGTTCAAACCCAAGTGTCGGCAGAGACATTTATTTCCTGTATGGCACTATCTGTCTATATAGATCAGTAATGGGCAAAATGCGTCTAAGTGTCATTATTGCCTTGCTTGGGTGAATTAATAAAAAGTGCTCAATCATTCTTCTCGGGTTTTTATGTTTTCTGAAATGTCATCTGGATGATTCCGATTATTCCTCTGATAGCCAATTCCTCCAGAATTTTCTTAGGTTCTTCGAGATTGGTACGAGTACTCCGATAATAACTGACACGACTGTCACCTTAACGTTCCACAATTTCACAGCTTTCTAGTGGCTTTGAATTAATTATATCTCTTTTCATTTTCTTTCATATTTATTTTGTAATCTGTCGGTACAGTGAAATACATCATATTAATATGTACTGTTACTTAATACTATATTTAGTATTTTTAGTAAAACTTCTTTTTTTTACATTTTTCTGGCCAGTGTTGGGTTTAATCCGTTTTGTGAGACCGGGGTTCGAATCTGACCACAGACGATTTGTCAAAAAGGTGACTTCTTGGTAATAGCGGCCCTATAAGACGTTCAACACCATTGGAAATTACCTGAAAACCCAATGGGTTGAACCAGGTCTTGTGAATGAAATTGGATAGATGAAAGTGTTCAGAAACCGTCGGTGTTTGTGCTAGCACGAAGTGATTAGTCATCGTGACTGAGAGCGTGAATCTTGCTTAAAACTGTTATTCACACCATATTATGCGTCCTCTGTCAGAAATTATAACTAAGATCTGCATAATTGTAAAATAAACTACATATTGACTCTTTAGGTGTTGAAAAACTACGAATATGCCTGTTTTTTTTTTAGTTTTCACAACAGTAATTAATATCTGGTGGCTTTCACTAGAGATTAAGGGAGTACTTGCTTTGTCAACAGACTCCTAAGTGTTAAAGTTGATTTTAGTTATGCTGTTGTGACAGGTTTAAAGTAATTCTGATTCATATAGTGTCCATTGTTCACAAACACAGAACGAAACGATAGGTTTTCCTCATTACAGCGAGTATTCACAAGGCGAAATCAGGTTCTCCTTTCACTACGAGCCATAATATGCAAGTAGAAGAGATGATCCTTGTGGCTTATGTGTAGGGATTATATTAGTTGGGAGTATTTTTTAAAATCTTAATTTCATCTCCGGATTTATACACGGACGTCTGATCCCAGTAAAGGCACGTGGTAAAAAGAAGAGCCGCGTTTTTTTTTTTGTTTTTTTTTTTAGAATGCTTCATCCCTGGGTGCATGACATAGAATGACATTGTAGTTCCCCTTTACACTTTTATATTTATCGCATCTTCTTACAGTCAAATCACGATGAACACATCGGTTCTCGTTCTGTCACCGAAGTTAAGCATCATAGAACCAGGTTAGCACTTATGTGGGACCGCTTGGGAAGACCTGGTACTGTAAGCAGAATCCTACTGCCGTGGTAAACTTCTTTTGGGCACCTCGAGGCCGTGTAATAGCATGCTTGTCTCGCTAAATCAATTACGACTTAATAGTGAGTTCGATCCTCACTGGGTGCCCCATCCTTTCGGCCTTGTACCACATCTAAGCTATGCTTAGAAAATCAATATAATTATCGCAACTTGATCGTTTTTATTTCAAGTGTTTAAGATTTTATACATAATTACGCAGATAATGAATCTCCTTCTATAGACGTGGGTAATCATGGCTCCCCATAACGTCTTATTATTTGTAGCTCTTAGTAAGGTTTGTTTGTTTTTTACAATACCTCCCTCTCCGCGTCCCGCCATCCATTGACACAACCTCACCAGGTAAGGGGTTCGCTGTCCACCTCCACCGTTTCTTTTGCCTTCGATATGTCCTCTGAGTGTTAAATTCTCCAAGCAATTCTTCCTCGTTATCTGCACAAGAAATTCCAGTGTGTCGTTCTGGTTCTGAGTATAAGTATTTTTTTCTTTCCATTTTGTTTAAAACTTCCTCTTTGCTTACATGCTCCCTCCATGGAATTCTTACCATCCTTCTGTAGATCCACATGGGGGGGGAGGAATGTAAGAAGCCACATACGATAAAGTTCAGATGTTTGAGCCGCAAGACATGAACAAAATTCACGCATACATTTTCGTTGCATACACATTAACGTTAAACATACGTTTTAATCCAATGGGATCTCAATTTATTTTTTTTTAAATAGGTGTCACCCCAAGCAAAGCAGCATAGCCCTTAATACGAAAAGAGTTATAGGGTGCGGAAGAATTAGGAACAGAAACAGAGAGAGAGAGAGAGAGAGAGAGAGAGAGAGAGAGAGAGAGAGAGAAACGGAACCAGAAGGATAGTAGATAGCGACTGACATTGCATTTAAACTTTTGCAGATTAAAGTTGGCTGGAAAACATGGAGCCGGGAGTTGCACAAACGAGAAGTGCGAGAAAAGAAACTGTTAGCATTGAAGTTATGGTTACATCTAGCCAGCTTAACTGTAAATTGATGCGATTTCGCCGTCAGTCTATTTTTGCGATTAAATTCATAGAGACCACGTACCATAGCGAAGAACAATTACCATGAAAGTATTTATAAAAAGGCCCAGAGAGGCAACCTTACGACGGTGGGAAAGTGACTGAAGCCGAGAAGCCAGATCAGGACAAATAATATTGCTGTTTCTTCTTCGGATCTTATCAAAGAGTTCCACGTAGATAGCAGAGACACCGGACCATATAAGGCAGAAATATTCTAAGCATGGACAAACGGTAAATATAGAAATATGAAAGAAAGATTCAGGAGAGAAGAATTGTTTCACCCGACACAGTGAACCGACTTTCTTAGCAGCTGACCTAGCAATGGATTCAGTAGAGACTTTCCACTTCATGTCAGCTGAGAACGTTAACCCGAGAAGGTGCAATAAGTCACTTTCCTAGAGGACAGCATCAGCCATGCTGATGGAAGGCAGAGAGAGGTCTCTCAGATGATCAACAGAGAGAAGTTTATTTTTGGTGGTGTTAAAACTGACAAGCCATCATTTGACCGTGTTAACGACGGTCATGACGTCCTTTTGTACATTAGCTGCCATTTCAGACGACTGATCAGCCTTATTAGTGAGGCAGGAGTAAATGGTGGTGTCGTCAGCGTAGATGCCAAGTTGAGAGTTGATTTCACCGGGAAGGTGGTTAATGATGATTAAAACAGCGTAGGAGCAAGGATGGAGCCCCGGGGGATACTCGCGTTAGTATGAAAGGATGTAGACGATTTGCCGTTCAGGACAACTTTCATTTCACGATTTGATAGGAACGACTGAATCAAAATCGACTCAAAAATGTGCCCGGAGACACTGTAACTTTTCAGCGTGGAAATGAGCAGAATGCCAGGCACTGTCAAAGGTTTTCGAGATGTCCATTGCTACAGCTAGGGCTTCACTGTTTTTATCTAGAGCCTGATAGACTCTTACCACAATTATCGTCAGTACATCAGCAGTTGACCTGGAGGAGCGAAAGCCGTTTTACTTGTCTGAGAAAAGGCCCCGCGATAAAAGATGATGAACCAATTTAGCACTGATTAGGGCCTCTAGGAGTTTCCCAAAAAGAGGCAAATGGTTAATAGGCCGATTGTTGGATGGGTCGGACTGTTCACCAGAGTTCTTAAAAAATGGAACAACAGACGATGACTTCCAGTAGACAGGAAAGCGAGTGGCAGCAAGGCATTTATTACACGGTTTAGAGAGAACAGGAGCTAGTTCGGGGGCACACTTCTTAATGACTATTACAGGGATGCCATCGGGTCCAAATGCTTTGTGGGGATTAAGGTTAGAGATGATATCAGAGACGAAGGAAAGGGTTATATGCATATCACTCAACAGAGAATCAATTCTAAGTGGGAAGTTAGGCAGGGATACTCCTGATGAGTCAAGAGTAGTGTTTGAGGAGAATTTAAGGGCAAAGCATTCAGCTTTATCAGTAGAGGATCATAACATCTCAAATCAATTGAAGAGGGGGAATAGAGAATTTGCACTTATTTAGTACCCTATTACAGAGACGCCAGTAATCACGAGAGCCAAAGTTTTTAGATGGGTATGCAATTCCTCATTCTCTCCGTAAACAGGGACTTAGCTCCGTCGCTTACATTTACTCCGAGCAGTAGCAAATAGGCACCTGTTATGACGAAAGCTGTCACGCTGGTATAGCCGGGAATAGTGGTCCATGTGTGCTATGGTGGCTGAGTATGCCGTCATATCTAGTATATAATTATAAAGCTTGAAATTTTTTTTTATTTTACTTTTATATTAACTGTGATGAAGTAAAAAGGAGCTCAGCCAATATATTTCCGCAATCCGCATATTAAATGTCAATGACCCAGATGTGGATCGTAAGGCACGGTTTGACCGCCAATGATCTACATCTCTGTTGCTTCAAGTCTTCCCTTCGTCTGTTTGGCATCTTCCCAGCATTCATTGCTATATGTGAAAACTGATATTACTTTTCTTTCTTGCTAACGAAGTTTTTTTCCTGTTTCTTAATACTTTGCTTAATTTCTGTATGGCATTTTTTGCTATTCCAATTATAGCAAACCCGAAACTTAGACAAGTCTCGGTCATAGCCACGTTAAATATTGATGCAGACTAACAACCTAGTTTAGATCAATCCGACATCACAAGCGTGGGGCACCCTGTTAGGATCGAACTCAATACCTGCCTCTTAATAATCTTTCTTCTTAAACTTCTGTTTTTCTTCGTCTCCACTTTACGAGTCACGCAAGAGATTTTATTTATTACCCTGTCTTTCTCTCTCTCTCCCCCCTCTTTCTTTCTCCCTCTCTCTGTCTACTTTTTTACACACTTTCCCACGCACTACGCATGCAGCAGCTCCTTTTGATACATTGCCTTTTGTGAATCGTCCATGCGCTACAAGAAGCCAACGAACGCCAAGAATACCTCCAAGAGTCATAAATACCACAAATGAATGGATGAATGAATGAATTCAATGAATAACTGACCTTCGACGTATTATTTTATCTCACAACTCAAAAGACTCTTTACTCTATTGCTTTCTTTACTTTTTCTTCTTCTTCTTCTTTGGTGATGGGAGTTCATTTAGTTATTTATTATTTATGAGTGATCCCTGCTGTGACCCTAGTCGTAGGTAGCTGATGTCGCTAACAAGTCGCTTGAATATGGAAAGCGCAGAGATAAAGTCCTATTGTTATAACGTAGTCCGTGTTTCTTGATTCGTTTTTTCTTTTTTGTAACGTACTTTCTGCTTTTAGAAGGCCTTGTTTGAAATGGAAAATATTTGTGTGTAAATCTTTCAACGACATATTACTTTTAATAAATATGATACTACTAGTATTACTAGTAATACTAATAATAAAAATGAAGTTGGTGAAAATATTTAGAAAGCGCTCGATGCAATGAAACAATACATTTGGTCCTAAGCAGTAGACACTACATGAAGAAGTTAATAATATTAATAATAATAATAGCAACAACAACAACAACAATAATAATAATAATAATTACGGAGATAGGACCTGTAAGAATTTTATGGGACTACACAATACACACAGGCAGAACAATCAAAACTAGCTGCGCAGACATTGTTATTAGAGACGGCAAACAAAAAATTGCCTCCTTATTGATATAGCAGTCCCTGGAGACTGCAGTGTGTCTTTGAAGATCTCCAAAAAGCTATCAAAATACAAGTCTCAAAATTGTGGCACATGGGAACATCAGTAGTCCCTGTTGTATTTGGATCCCTCGGATTGGCTGGAAAAAATTCCAGTAGACTCACTGAGGGGATTCCTGGTAGCCCATGTCTTAAAGAAATACAAAAAGTTGTTCTCACGAGTACAGCTCACACCTTACAAAAGTTTTTTATCTATATAAAATATGTGTGTTGATGTTTTTGTCAGTGGAAAATGTCATGATGCCATTTCTGACCTTAGATCTCTGGGCGGGACCAGTGAAGAAATGAGTACACACCAAAAATCAAAGGAAATAATAATAATAATAATAATAATAATAATAATAATAATAATAATAACATTGTTATTAAAAACCACAAACAAAAAAAGTACCTCCTTATTGATATGGCAGTCCCTGCAGACTGCAATGTATCTTTGAAGGTATTCAAAAAGCTGTCAAAATACAAGGACCTTGAAATAGAAATCTCAAAAATGTGGCATATGGGAACATCAACAATCCCTGTTGTAGTTGGAGCCCTAGGATTGGATGGAAAAGATTCCAGTAGACTAATTGAAGGGATTCCTGGAAGTCCGTGCCTCAAAGGGATACAAAAAATTGTTCTGACAAGTACAACCCACACTTTACGAAGGGCTTTATCTATGTCATTTTTTTTCCTTTTTTTTTCAGTGGAAAGTGTCATGATGCCATTTCTAACCTTAGGTCCCTGGGCGGAACCCGGAAAGAAATGTGTAAACGCCAGAAATCAAAGGAAATAAAA